ACGATTATGTATACAAATTATGTAAACATGTTGTAAATTCATGAACAGTTTTCTGTTTATGGTCTTGTTTTAAACTACTACGAAATTCGTCGTCAGGGTGGATATGAAACAGTGCCTAAAATTCATTTTATTGTGACTTTCCTGACAGATAGATTTATAAACAGTAACGTTCACCAGTGTGTGTTTTATCAAAAAAAAACAGTTTACTCGCTGGGAATTTCCCGATGTTAATATTCTGTCATATCCTTGCGAAATGAACCAGATTTCTGGTTAAATTAGTTTATCGTTGACTACGGTAGCAGTAATCATGTATCCAAACAGTATGAATAACTGATAGCAAATATAAATTAAAACAGTCTGCTAGAATACTCCTTGAAAGTAACGATGGTTTGAAGATATAAAATAAACTAAGTTTCATCAGTGGAATAGTTTTTTGTACATGAAGTGATTTGTTTGTGAAATTCAGAAAATAATAAAGTGAACTATCAGAACGCAATATCTTTTAAGATCATTGTAAATTGTTTATGTTTTCTCCAAGCTGATGTTGACTGTTACACCTCTGAGCAACTGTAACTCTTCAGAGTTAAGTGTATAAGTTGTAAAGACATTATGCATCATTAATAATGTATTCAGTTTTATCATGATACGTTTAAATATGTAGATCAAGTAAATTAACTAACTATCTGTTGGGGACGTTAGATCCCCAGAACTCACTTGGGAAAGGACCTAAGTTTGTAATTTTATTTTGAAATTTTGAATTTCTTTGTTTTCGCGCCAAAGGTGGTCTTGTCACCTTCATGTCGTATTTCCCACTGGGAAATCTCTTAAATGCTATTGGTTTGTTGTTATCGCTCGTTTCTGGCTGGGACGCATCAGTAGCTATCTTATTGGTCTTTGGACACCGAGTCTTGTTCTCGTTCGCAGATTAAGTGAACTCGTGATAGCTTCAAACCTAGCACCACCTATCAGTCCTCTTTTACATGCGAGGATACTCAATAGGATTATAAAGTTTACTGCAAAGAATAATATCCTGCCTCTAGATGTTTCATTTATTTGTTTATCTGTCAAAGATATAAACAAGTTTCATCTGAAAGACCTCAACATCTATGCAATACAAATATTTTTATTCAACTATTTATACTACTAAAAACTAGTATAATCAATTCTTTAGAAATATTTATTAACATGAAGAATATTGTAATAATTATTAGTGAGAAACTAGATACTGTGTTTAAGACAGAGATTTAACCTTAAAAATAAAACGCCTCAAATGGGTTCTATCTCATTATCTTTTAAAATTAGGTAGAATTAAGTCTATCCCTTTAATCATTACTTAAAGTTTGAAAACATGGATAAGCAATTTTTTAGAAAATGTATATCCCTATTGATCGAGATAAGCGAACAGAAATACGTTTCCATTTGTAGTTTGTGAATGAACCAGTAATAATCTTTCTGAGTAAATAATTTTATCATCAGTAGTTATGATGTTACATAACTTACGTAGATAGTGCTACATAGGATAAAAGGGTAATATTAATACTATTTTCCAAGAAATAGTTTCATTTTTTAACATTTCTTCAAATATAACACCTAATGTACTGTAGTGAACAGAACACGGGTCGCTGTGGTCTAGTGGTTAGGATATTGCATTGTGTTCCCGCTCTTCCTTTCTTGATCTTCCCCCATCTTCTGCTGACAGACATTACGTTTTTAACTCGCGTCATATACTACTTACATCAATATAAGTAGCACGCACCATAGTACCAGTACAGAGCTTTATATTATTAAGCTTTGATTTATATTATTATTGATAATTGCTTACATTGTTGTTAAATTGTCTAAAAAGGATTAGGCTGGATGTGATTCAAATAATTCACTAAGTGATTGCTTTATTGAAATGTTAATTGTTCTATAAGCAAATACGGATAGTGGCTAGTAGTGGAATTCAGGACGCACGTTTCATCCTATTTAGGTCTTGTCAGCTGGACGTACCTGCATCTCAGAGTTTATATTCATTCTAGAACTCGGACCCAGTACCGTTTGCACCAAAAGCCATCGCGTTGTCCACTAAACTATTGAGTTCAATCAGCCACCTGCTTGTGAAATGTGATGAATTTCAAAACAATGGGAAGATGCAAGCAAACAATATCAAGTGAAGTTAATTATTATGGTTTGATTTAATAAGTAGTTGAACAGTACAGTCTGATGAGAAATTATTGAAAGGAATATTATTCATTCATACAAGTGAGATTTATGAGCACTTTAATTTTTCTTCAAACTGTTGAAACGATTAGTTAGTACTACGAGTCACGGTGACGTTTTGAATTTGTGACCCTGTAGTGTCGGTTACTATGTTAAGCCCATATCAATTATTCTAGCTTCTAGACAGGCCAATATATTCATTCTTCCGGAGTCATGTTTCGACCTTATTAATTATTATTCACTTATCAACCCTGACTGTTTTTATATGAGCTTATGTGCGAGTACATCTTATCCTACTCATCATCTGTCTGTAGCTTATTTTTATGTGACTATAAATATTGATTAACGATTGATTAAATGGAGTTGGCTCACACGCATTCTCCACTGTGCGTCATTTCACTTCGCTCTGTTCTCTTCGCTTCCTTCGCTCCATCCCTGTGGTTGTCTGTTCAGATCAATAATTGTGCAAAATATACGTATTCAAATATCCATTCTTGTGTTCCATTTATTTAATTCCGTTATTCATCAATACGATTGAAGTCGATGAAATATACGAGGATAGATAACATGTGTATTTCAATGACAATCAGTATACAATCTAATCGGAGTCAGATATATGGTTACTAAAGTAGTGGGCCAGTCAACAACATTGTCATAATAGATTTCTTTTGTATTTGCTTCATCAGATTTCAAGATAAATACATATAACGTGTTTAAACAATTCTATACAATAATTTTTGAAAATGTTTTCACATAGAAGTGATATAGAATGGGTAATTTAAGTGTATACTTGTTAATATACATATATATAACACTTACAATTCAGTTATTTTGTAATAATGAATAAAGGCACTCATAAATTGTATAGATGTTATGCATATTCATGTAGACTGTATTTTTGGTTTTAAAAAAATACTCATGTCAATCTATCTTCAAGTGGTAATTTGGACTGAAATTATCTTTTTATTATATTCAATGATAATAACTAAATTAGTATATTTTAAAGTGTAATGATTATCAACATAATCTTTATTAGTATCTATGTATTTAAGAATGAATAGGAATAATTATGACTGACTAGAAAGTATTAGAATAGAAATAAAACGTGTATAATCAAGAAATGGGTTTTAAGTTTTGTGAATTGACTGCCAACATTTATAGAATTATTATCAGAAATGGGTTTGTTCTGGATATTATAGTTATTTAATAGTTAAGTTCATGAGTCAACTAAAGCTAGACTATCATGAAAAATCAGAAAGTACTGGATGGCCGTTTCGTCCTATTTTGGGACTCAACTATTGAAATTACAACAATCTCTACAAAACCACGTCAGATACTAATCAACATATGCTCACTAATGACTGGCTTCAAGATGTATATCCTAGAGTTCTAGTGATTAGCAGTGACCAGTGGAGTTCAACCGGGTCAGTTGTGAGATAGGAACACACTGATGACACTGATGGATGGATGGCTAAATTTTGTGGATTAGTTGAAGTTAGACATTAACACCGTTGGATGCCGATTCAATAGTGCGCATCCACACTCTATAGAATGATTGAAAACTAATAAATATTGAACATTTTTAATTTAGTCCTATTTCTACAGCAATTGAGACTTATGATGTTATTATAGGAATTTCATTTGTAACAGCAAACCTGATACTATTCAGTTAAAGAATCGATATCCATTTGTTTATATTTTCAACTTTATTCAGTTTCACTTGGTATTGTTTGGCTTGTATCTTCCCATCGAGATTTAAGACTGCAATTAATCAGTCTGTTATTGGCATATGTGCATACTGTGCGTATGCCTCGATATTGCCTTAATTCACAAGCTATTTGTAAGTAATGACGGATATTGGCTAGTGCGTTTCGTCCTATTTGGGACTCGTCATCTGGATGTACCTGCATCTCAGAGTTAAACAATGTGTTCTTCATAAAATGTCATTAATGAATTATTGTATATATATTTTTAACTACTTCGTCTAATGGCTTCCCGTTAGAATCTAACGAAGATTATACTGAAACTAGTTGGTAGCGTGTATATAATATTCTAAAATTTATATCATCAGTTTATCTGCACAATATAACATTTCACCTTCGAAAAATTAATCATTAAAAGTATACGGTATAAAAATCACAATTTTCTTATAATTATAAGCAGTAAAATGTATATATATATTCCACAAGTAACCAGAAACAAGAACAACAATAAAATAGCATAGTAAAAGATACAATGAACAAATAGCGTTTAAGATCCTCCGAAGTAGGCCATACAACATGAAGGTGAAAATGGATGTTCTAGCGCGAAAACAAGGAATTCAAATCTTTAAAATAAAATTACAAAAGTAAGGCATTTATCAGGTGAGTTTTGGGGATTTATCTACCCCAACAGCATCTGGCCAACAAATATTGAATATCTTATGTACACAATTGTTTAGAAATACTTATATATTTTTGATGATGTTTGTGGTAGTTCTATATTTTTCAGCTTCATGCAATAGAACTTTCTTGACTTTTGTATTGAAGATTTCGACTTTGATATTAGTTGACATTTTTTTAGTTCTATATGTACTTCATTTGTGGCAGTGTAGCGTTTGTTTTGCCAATCCTCACCTTTACGTCTGTATCAGATCCTCTTTGTTCATCGATAAATTGTGAAATTAATGATGATGGAAATTTATGCCGAGTTCTCCGATGTTTATGACTGACTGTCACGGAATTTATATATATATATATATATATATATATATATATATATATTAAAAGAGAGAATGGAGTCAAGGGTAATGCTATCTAATGTTATTAATTTTAAATTCTACTACTACTACTACTACTACTACTACTATCACTACTACTACTACTACTACTACTATCACTACTACTACTACTACTACTACTACTACTACTACTACTACTACTACTACTACTACTACTACTACTATCACTACTACTACTACTACTATTACTACTACTATTACTACTATTCATGATAATTAAATTAATTAACAAAAATTTTGAATAATTGGTGAACTATTTCCTTTTTTTTTAAATATTTTCGTTCCAAATAACATTCAAGTGAGTTTTATAAAATACTTCAGTTAAATGATACTTGAATTATGATAAATTAATTGACATTTCTTCTATGATAGAATAAATACTACTAATTTAATGGGTTTAATCATCTTGATTTATGTTTTTCCTCTTTTTCTTTTCTTTTTTTCTTTCCTTTTTTCTTTCTAAAAAAACGAAAGTTTAAATTTTTTTCTTCTTCTTTTGGAAGCAACCACTGATTCATATATCATTTATTAATTATATCTAATTAAGAAAAATATGCTTATAGAAAATGAATAAGGAAGTGTATACCTGATTCTAAGTAGTATATTCTATAGTTTATATCATTATGGATATACGTAATATGAAATTATTCATTTTAAAGAAATAATAATAATTAGGACAACAATTTCAAGTTGTTTAGGTGAAATGAATAAAAGAATAAAAGTTTTATGATTAGCAATTCTATTATAAATAAGTTGTCACGCTATTTAATAAGGATTTTTAATCTTCTTGTTGTTACTGTGAAGAACTATAATAGATCCATTTTTTTCTTTGTTTGTTTGTTTGTTTGAATTAAATGGTTTTGAGTTTAGGGATGAGCATTATTAAATCTACGATTAATGCACATTCAAATGATGAGTCCTAAAATGCTCATTCTAGATTCAATTATTAGTTAGTAACCAGTTTTCACTTTCTTTGAGAGCTGTATGGGAACTAATCATTTAGTTGCTTACTCTTTAGTTTCAATCATATTCTGTTGATTGACTAACAGTCTAGTATAAGGTATATTATTCCTTTTTAAATGAGTAAAAATAAATTATATATATATATATATATATATATATATATATGAGTACAACAGTATTGTTTTTATCAGAATGGGTTTTGTGGTTTTTAGAAAGTTCACTGGTTGAAATCATGAGTCAGTTGAAGCTAGACTACTATGGAAAACATGGAAGCACTGAACGGCCGTTTCGTCCTAGTATGGGACCGGGATCGTGGATGCGCACTTCTGAGGAGTCTCATACTAGGACGAAACGGCTATCCAGTATTGTTTTCATTTAGATCATTAGGATGTACTCTAATTTATAGTTTATAGGTATATATATATATAGTTATCATTGATAACCTTTGTCATTCCAATCCTTTACATTCACTTATGTCAATTGTTTCATACTATGTCTTATCGCAATGTAAAATTCTAATACATATTTGGTTGTAAGTAGCTGATGAGAAACCACGAAATATAATGAATTCATATTATTCTGTATCAATATTTGTTTTGGCTTTATTAAAATTCATAAAGGGAACTAATTGCATGAAATTTTAAGCTATTGTTGGTCTACCTTTCAACTTGTATAGTACGCATTGAAATAATGTTATATATATGGGAATAAATATACTATGATATAATCCTTAGAAATCTTCTTTTAATAGTAACAATACGATAATTCAAATAGTGTGGATAACTTTAAAATTCCCTATTCATATTCTGAATTTGTTTTCAAATGTCAAATACATTTACACAGTCACTTGACTACATCGGTTAACAAAATGAATGCTGTTATGATTTGTTATATAACAAGAGTGAATATTTTCTCTTTACAAATTTTAAGGACATAAGTCAGAATATAAAGTTCTTCTCTTGGGCGGAATCTGTAAATCATCCAATGTTACCTTTTTTTCATCTATATGAATTAAACAATATTTTCAAGTTACAAATTCTATGCTTAAACGATGGTTTATTATTAGTTAGTGGTATTTTGTTATTTTTAATATGGTTTTCCTAATACAGTAATTGGTATGTATTATAACCTGTGACCACCGATTAGAGAGCAGTGACTTATCGATCGGATCAAAGACGCGTAAACCCGTATGAGCAGCCTAGATTTTTGATTGGCTCTGCTTTCCGCCTAGCCCAGCCAGTTAAGTCCAGAACACAAGTCCCAACCTCTGCGATATGGATCAACTATTTCAAACACAATCGGTTTATATATCAATCAAGCAGATCACATCGTACCATAAAATAGAAAATAACATTTGTACAATATTTGGCCAACAGGAAAATGATACCATTTCAAGTCCAAGGGTAGCATTAAACTTGACAGGATAATTTTTGGGATATTTTTCTGAATATCCAAACAGTATGAATGTCGTTAATTGGTACTGTTAAATGGCGGTGAAATGTATGATGTTTTTGTATTGTATACATTTTTTTCTACATCAGAGGGATCTGGTTTCATAGTTATCTTTATAACTGATAGTATATATGTACTAGAACTGGTAGCATGTGTGTTTTGAGCTGGTACTTGAAATATGAATAGACGGTAGTTGGGAAAGCGAACCAGTGGATTACAATATATTATATTTATCGAGAAACACAGATGTTTCATGTTCAGTCATGAATATATACTGTTTAAGTGTCTTAAAATAAAATGGCATAGACATTAAATATTTTTCTTCGATTATAACAGATATTTCTAAATTTTATAGGAAAGTCTATAAAGCTTGGTTAATCATTCGTTAGTTCTGGTCAGAAAATAATAATAACTCAGACCCATTGTGTAGTGACCTGCTTTTATCAAGAGAACGCGATTGGTTTAATGGAAGCAATCATTATTATAACCAATTGTACCAGTGATTGTTTTACTGTACTAAAGACGTCCATCACTCCTCCATTATTCTTCCGTTGACTGTGACCTTGTACGCTCGCACGTTCGCCCATTGATTCCACTTGTATTTCCTTTGGCACGATCTCGGTATACTTTCAGTACCACTAAATCGCCAATGAATAAATCTGGTTACAATCTCCTTCTGATTTTCTGGCACATGCTCATCTTGTAGTGGTGATCATAGTCAAACGCGACTCGACGGCACGCTACAACTGTATACTGTTGAGTAATCTTAGGCTAAAGTATCTATCAAATAGTCGGTCCTGGTTTTCACTTATGTCTTAGTGAATACCAGGTAATGGTATAAAACAGAAACTCACAAATATTTAATAAAATAACTAGAATAATATTTTGAACAGCATGTTACGTAATCATAATGAATAATTTTCAATTTGTGCAAACAGATTAGACTGTACCGTTGTTTGTTTGTTTTTTGTTTGATAAGCGGTAAATATAATAAATCATAAAAAACATTTTTTGATATATTAGCTTTTTGCTGTTACTTGTGTTGTTTGATGTTTATTGAGGGTTTCATTCTTTTTGTCTAAGGTTGTTCAGTATAATAGTAATAATAGTAATAATAATAAGAATAATAACAATAATAATAATGCTACTTTTTATATCTGGTCGTCGCTGATTATTGTGTCGGAAACGCTTATCACTTATATTCGAAACGAGGGACCTCTGCAATTCTCACCACGCGAAAGTAAGAACACAAAGACCGGTATAAGTGATGATTTATTAACCCCAAAACACGACGACGACTCTAGTAAAAAATACACTCATTTATATACTGATTGTACACCCATTTTTGATTAATAATTAGGATGAAATCAAAATCACATACTGAGCATAGTTCATGTCAATGGGATACAAGAATATCGTATATTATACAGAATAAAATATCAGACGAGAAAAGAAAACCGAATACTACACTGAATGATCATTACATTGAATCAGAACAGAAGTAATCTTGAACAAAATTCATAATGACTTCTCTCGTCATATCAACTAATAATAATGATGATAACTGTGTTATTATTGTTTTATTATTGTTATTTTATCAGATACTAACCATGCCCTTCACTCTTATCTTTCTCCTTGTATATCTTCTGATAGAACGAGACATAATTACATCAAAATCCATACACGCAAGCAAAAGTATAAAAGTCCTATAATACCCCACCTAGCAAATATACTCTGTGACGAACAGGTTGTTAGAGTTAACCTAGTCAATAATCTGCATTCTTAGCATATCTCTAATTTGAAAGGTTGTACAGTTTTCCGGGTTTTTTTAACAGAATGGGTTTTGTGGAGAGTTTTAGAAATTTCACAGGTTGAAATCATGAGTCAGTTGAAGCTAGACCACCATTGAAAACCTGGAAGCACTGGACAGCCGTTTCGTCCTGGTATGGGACTCCTCAGCAGTGCGCATCCACGATCCCGCACCCAGGACCTACTGGCATTGCGCGCGAGCACTTGACCACTAGACCACTGAGCCGGCATCCAACGGTGTTAATGTCTAACTTTAACCTTTTTTTGTCTTTGTTACCGTTTTTTTGCGTAAGAAACTTGTTGAAATACCCTGTGCTGAGAATTATATTTTGTATCAAAATATAATATTGAATACGGCTATTAATCATTATTATTTTTATTATTATTATTATAATGTCAGTCATTTGAATATAAATGTGCTAAGTCATGTTTGATTTATCATAATCAAGATTTACAATAATATAAATGGTTGAATATATACTTTATTGGTTAGTCACTAGGTACGGAAAGTTTGTTTGTTTATTTTTTTATTTTCTTTTATGTGTGTGTAAAATCTTAAGGTTCAGTATAAATACAGAATAAGTAACTTATCTAATACACTTTGGTAATTTGTAATTGTGTATTCATTTAAGTGAATAAATATGATAGAAATGTCAATCAAAATTAGGGATTTGCACTTTTTATTTATGAAATAATGAAAATTGAGTTTATTAATTAGAGTGATTTAAAACAATTAGTCCCTTTGATAAATTTCGATAATGTGATAAGAAGACGAAGATTATCAGAACTATGTGATTTGAACGAATAGTTTCACAATATTTGGGCGCTGAGTTAATGTGAGACATTAAAGTGGAGGAATGTATTTGTGATATATTAGGGCAATACATTTCAAACAATCTGATCACACATTACATACTTGTTAAGAACATTTATATATTTGACTGGTTGAAATTACGAGTCATTTGAAGCTAGACAACCATGGGAAACCTGGAAGCA